ACGGAGGAGATGGATTGTTTAAGTTTAGAGTTTGGAGTTAGAGATATTAATATTTGTTTACTTGTATTTGAATATTAGCCTAGGTTTGGTTTGGGAAGTCCGGGGGGTGGGGGGATGGGATATAACATTGTGTAATATCTGTGATGTATTTCTTTCTTTTTTATGATAAAAACAATAAAATTTTATATTGAAAAAAAAATAAAATAAAATAAAAGAGCCAAGGTTGCCTACCCCTGCCTTAGACTGTGCTGCGAGCTGGTGAGGAGGCTTCTATGGAATTAGGCAAATTGATGAACTGGGTTTGGCCCTGCTCTCTTCTAAAAGACAGGGAGAAAAAGGGTGTAACCTCCATTTTATTTGTTAGGTTCATTTCATTTCCACTACTATTTTTAACCACCCTACAATCTTACTTCACATTTGTATATAAGTGAAGATATTTATCTCTATTGGAACCATTTTATTCATCACAACTGAGGGTTTTTCATAAGAGGCCTTTGTGCCTCTCCAGAATCAGTCAGAGCTACATGATCTCGTGCTATGTATCTTAAAGCAAATATTGGAAGCTGCTCTGACTTTCTACTGTAGATTCACATCCTACAGCAGGGGTCTTCAAACTTGGCCCTTTTATGACTTGTGGACTTCAACTCCCAGAATTCCTTAGCCAGTCACGCTGGCTGAGGAATTCTGGGAGTTGAAGTCCACAAGTCATAAAGGGGCCAAGTTTGAAGACTCCTGTCCTACAGGATCCCTTTACGCAGCCCAGAGCTATGTGATCCCATGCCATCATGTTCTGTGGCTGAGCCAACTGATTTCTTGTTCAGATTCATATATCTGAAATTGCACTAAAGATAATCTTCCTGACTGAAATGCTGATCCTGTAGTGCTTGAGGGCCAGATGGTTGGTTTGGAACAGGGGTCTTCAAACTTGGCCCTTTTATGACTTGTGGACTTCAACTCCCAGAATTCCTTAGCCAGGCAAGCTGGCTGAGGAATTCTGGGAGTTGAAGTCCACAAGTCATAAAAGGGCCAAGTTTGAAGACCCCTGGTTTGGAAGTTTCTCACATCATGTTACCTCCTGACCATCTTAGACTCATTGAGACACTGGTCTTCCATGACTACCTTCTTGGCTTTGCAGCTTCCTCTCCTACGGTTACATTTTCTTCAGATACAACATGAACCAAAAACAAAAACGTAGACTTTAGTGGGGGCTTTTGGTAATTGTTCCAAACTTGGTAGTGCCCAAGAAGTGGGCAGTGATGAGTGACTCTGTCCTGCCACAGTGGAGTAAAATTGCCATTTTAAATATTACTTTTATTTGATCATATTACTTGATGTTGGTTTCCTTTCTTTAGAGTTACCATTTCTTTGACTGTTTAAGGAAAACAGGTTCTGGGCTTACTCACAGTAAGAAATACATACAAACTGCTCCTTTAAAAGACAAGCATGTTGTCTTTTAAGTTGCTTAGAATAATCCGTAGAAGAGATGAAAGATGAAACATGTTGCATTTTAAAACACTTCCCATACCTGCTCCTTTATCTTTAAAAATAAAACCACGTTTTCTCAAGAGAACAAGTTGCAAAAAGGAGAGGGGATCTTTTCGCCCCCCCTGCAATAAATCTAAGAGGCACGTTTTATCCAAACCATCCCACTCCCAACTCCTCATTCTCACTCGAAAAAAGGATTGCTTTTTTTTTTTTTAAACTCGTACTCTTACTCGGCAGCGTGAATATTTCCTCTTTCCTCCCCTGCCGCGTGCTGATTCCATCTTCTGCTGCCCGGCAGACTCCATGCATCCGCTCCCTCGCCTCTCACCTGATTTGAACTCCTTATTTCGCCTGCCGTATTATTATTCTCTCTCCTTCCAGCCGGGAATGAATGCATAACGGCGATGGTGGGGCAGAACACGGCAAAACACCAACTTTTTCACGACCTTGACCTTAAAGTAGCAGCTCCGCAGCACGGACGGAAGCGGAAGATGTTCGAATATGAGATTGCGCCTAAAGGCAGTTGCACCGCATTTTACAGGATTTGGATAATCCAGAGCTAGGACGAGCTTTACCACTAAGCTCCCCTCCCCCGCCACTTCTTTTCAGATATCAGTTGGAAAACAGAAAGAATGAGGCGCTGTGTGAGGCAAGGCATGCGGCTGTTCTCTCTGGGAAGAGACTGGTTTGTATTTTTTAAATTTGAAAGTTAATTTTAAAAGACAGGTGTCCGTATTCCTTCAGGGTTTAGACCTCGAACGAGGAATGTAATGATGGACATCCGAGGACTGTAAAAAAAAATCCAGTTACTAGATGGCAGCAAAGAGAGATTTTGGTACTCTGTTACCATCTGGTGGTCATTCTCATGATCTGCAGCTGAATCCGAACACAGGTTAGTCCTGGATCCAGTCCTGGTTAGTCCTGGATCAGTCACTTAGCAGCTGTTCCGAGTTAACAGCAGCATTGAAAAAAATGACATATGACCAGCCCTCACACACAACCGTCACATCCCCACAGTCATGAGATCAAAATTAGAGCGCTTGGTATATATTTAGATCAGGGGTCTGCAACCTTGGCAACTTTAAGACTGGTGGACTTCAGCTCCCAGAATTCCTCAGCCAGCTATTCTAGCTGAGGAATTCTGGGAGCTGAAGTCCACAAGCCTTAAAGTTGTCAAGGTTGCAGACCCCTGATTTAGACGATTGCAGTGTTCCAGCACCATATATTGTCATTCGTGACTTTCTCAGCTTCTGACAAGCAGTCAATGGGGGAAAGCTGAATTCACTTAATAATCCCATGACTCACTTAATAACTGCAGTGATTCACTTACCAACCATAGAAAAAAGTCATACATTTGGGCATGATTCACTTAATTGCCTTGCTTAGCAACGGAGATTCTGGTTCCAATTATGGTTATAAATTGAGAGCTACCAGTACTTTAATCTCAGAATATTCTACTGGTAAACTTGCTATAGCAAGGCAGAACCGTGGGGGGGGGATGAAAGTCATGTATCTGATTGTATTTCTGAAAGCTACAGATGAAGGGAAGATCAGAAATGCTATTTGTCCTAGTCCTAGTCCTGAACTATTATATTTTAAAGTATAGGTAGCAGTTATTTTCAGGGATAAGAAAAATCACTGAATGTGTTTCGGGATATTAGCACTATTACTTCACAAATAAGTCTTTGAGCCTGTTGTTCCTTTAAGAGCAGATGCCACTGCTTTCTTGCATAAATCTCTGGATTATGAGACTTGGTGGTAACATAATTCTGACCCCCTAATCTCCTTTAAGCATTTATTTTTAAAGGCACTTTGGATCTGTTGTTGCTTGATACAATTCACTCATTATTGCTTTTGACTCTTACTACAGCAAATACTTTCTAGATGATGGGATGCACGCAATGAGTATTTAGTCTGCAGATGAGAGACCCTACCATACACTGAATTGAGTGAGCACACTTGGGGGGAAAACTGAGCTGTGACTTGCGTTATTCTCAAAGTTGAATTTTCAACAACCAGAGTCAATGGGGAAGCCCTAAGGAAGTTGCAAATGGCAATCATGGGACCACAGGACACTGCAACTGATAGCAACTGAGACTGCCAAAACTGCCGTCGTAAGTTGACATGGTCCAATGACATTGCTCCTTAAACTATGTAATTTAGTGATGAACTTCCCGATCCCAATTACTGGGGTGAAGACTGCCTGTATTTAAAAGCCGCAATTGACTGAAGCCATGGTGGGTTGCAGAAGTTAGTATCTAGGAGCCCCAATAAAATGACCGTTAAAACAAATACTTCCTCAGTGGCTATATTCACATGATAATATTCCTGTAGCATCGTAAATTGGTGCTTCAACTAGGTTAAAATAATTCAGAATGACATATTTTGGGATCTGAACAAGTTTCTGACCTATATTAAAGTTCTATACATGGAGCAGGTGAATGGCGTTGTCCGTGAAGTAGCCAAGCTTGTGGTGAACCATGTCATGCAAACCACAACCAATATTCACTTTATTTAATTTATATGTTATTGTTCTTCAGTTGAATAGTACTCTAAAAATAAAATAACTGAGTTTCAAGGCCAGTTCGACAGGTTTCTCTGCACCAGCTAGCCATCTTTGGACTGGAATCACACACCGCACTACACCATAAAGCATTGATTGCTGACTATAGTGGCTGCTGGGTTCACCTAGAATGCTCTGCCAAAACCAAACAAATGTTTGAATATTTCAGAAACTCTAGCTTTAGTAGATTTTAATATCAAGCAACACTCAGAGCATTAAGAAACAACTTTTCAGTATAGGATGGTACCTAGTATAGGGTCACCTGAATTTATTATGAAAATAAATATCAAATATACCAGCTTAGATGGCACAAGCAAATATTCAATATCTGTTTCCCAGAGTGGCCAGAGTGGACATGAACTTGAAATGGAAAGGAAGCAGTTTATTTATTTATTTTAGAGTTGCCCTGTGGAAAGATGGGTGGCCAATAAATTTAATAATAAAAAAGTCTGTCCTACAGACTTCATTTTTCATATACTTTACTTGCACTCTGCTATTTCATTAGGCAGGATTATTTTTATACTTGAACCTGGAATAAAATGTCAACTTGACAACGTTTTTCTGCTAGACAAACTGTCTCCACTGAAACATTTGTAACAGGTACCTCTTTTGCTTCATGGTGAGGCTGGTTAACATGTCTTAGTGTTTTTCTTCATATATTGGAAATTATTAGGAATTAGCTGCTGCCCTCCTTTGAAGCTATATTTTCTTGTATCCACTGCCTGGCAGTGCACGGTATTTCTTATGTGATGAAATCTGAGAGAAAAACAAGTACAGCTGGGAGACAGGCTGTGGTAAGTACAAAGCCTAATGCTATGAATATCTCCAGGGACACGCCTGTAGTTGGCTCTTCCCCAGCTATCTCCTTTCTCCCAGCCCCTTCTGGGTGGAGAGATCTGGAATGAAAATTAACTTACACCAGAGGTCAGTGCAGAGTTGGGAGGTTAGACCCGCCAGAGCAACATCAGGAGAGTCCCAGTTTTCTCAGTGGACGGAGCAGAACAACGGCAACATTCACCAGGGAAAAGGTAGCGTATGACCTTGTTTGGAATTCTATATATGGAAGAAGTGGAATTTAATTTCTGCAGATGATTAAGGATTTTCGATTGGTCCACCAAGGAAGATTACCACTATGAATATGGGGTAGGAGGAAGTAAATGAAGATGTAAAAAAGCACAATTGTTTCCTAGTCAATATCTTGACTTGCTCCTGAAGGGCACAACTTTGATACCACATCACTTTCCATTAGACTGTCTACAGAGATTTTCAATCATCTGGGTCATGGTTGTCCCAAAGGTGCTTTTCAAAAGGCAACTGGACTTTCTTAGATTTTATTTTTTGTCTTGAAAATATTTCACTTCTCATCCATGAAGCTTCTTGGATGAGAAGTGAAACCTTTTCAAGAGAGAGAAAAAAACCCTAAGAAAGTCCAGTTGCCTTTTGCAAAGCATCTTTGGGATTTCCACCAGACTGACTTCAGTGGTTAAGACTGTAACAGGTTTTGAATCCTGCAGCAGGAAGGCATTATAATTTTTTTCATAGATATTTTCTGAGCATGACATCCTGCCCCTTTTCTACTATTACCAGATTATTTTCTTGAGTGCAGGAAAATAGAAAAATGCTTGTTTGAAGGGAATGGGGACTGCTAGGCCAATGCTAGGCCAGGTATTGCAGACCTGTTGTATAATGTCAAGTAAATGGGGAGAGGAAAACACTATAAATGATTTCTGGGTATGTCAACACTGCTGTTAGTAATAGAGCTGCTGATAATGCTCCAGACATTTCTGGCTGATAGTAGTAGAAGACTATTGGCAAAGAAAACTGTTTAATTTGTCCAAAGTAAGAGGATTAACTCTGGTTCAGCTACAGAACTTTATCTTCCTACATTGCCTCTTTTCTAGGATCAGGACAAAGCCATCTAAATAAATATTTGGTTTTTTTATTTGCACTCTTTGGTTGTACTTCTGTTATTTGTGATGTGTCCTGATGTGTATTTTTTTTCATGAAATCAGGACTTCTATTAAGCTAAACATGTGGGACCCAAGTCTATAACTTAGAGCCCCAGAGTTATTTCCTGGGGTCCTGAGTATCCTTTTCAGTCAATGGAAATGTAACTTCTAAACTTAACTGATAACAGGGACAAAAAGGAGAGAGCTCAGCTATGATTGAAAGGGTACAAGTGAAAATAATAAAAATTTGGGAAGTGCAGCGCTGCTTTTTGGCAGACCACAATTTTGCTTTTCAGCGTGTTACTGGGAAATGAATGAAAAAAGCTTATGGTACATGTTATTTAGAGAAGGTTTTTGCCGATCTTATCAGCTACATCCAACCACCATTTTCTTTCCCTTCCCCTCAACCCATGTAATTTTCCTCCATATTTTTTCAGTCTTCATTTTTTCTTTTAGTATAACCAATTGGGTACATTTCTCACCTCTCTCTTTCCTTTTCTCCCATAGGCGTAGTAGATAATAGTGATACAAATCAGATATACCGGTAGCTACATTTTATTTTTCTTTTGTTTTATCTCATGTCTTTAATTTCTTTTGCAGACTATTTCTTATTCCTTTTCTGCACTGTGCCTAAAAGGGAACAACATGATGAGTTGATACGTATGTATGTACTAGGGATTTGCAAAACATTTAGTCCGTGAATGTTTTCATGCACAGAGCAGCTGGCTTTAGGTAACTCTGAAGTGATAAAAGCTATAGTAGATGAGATAGAAGGCTTGTTGGGATCTTTCTCTCAAACATCCAGGGTGCAATCCTCAACATATTACTAAAGACTTAACTCCACTGCATAATGGGATAGCATTGCTTATTTTCTGTGGTGCAAAATAGGCTATGCCATGGAAAGTGATTTTTCTAAATCCTTAAATCTGCTGTCTTTTCTTGTAGGCTGAAGGGAAGTAGTTGCAATGGGCTACCTGCCCCCGACCACAAAAGCCTTGCTGCTGGGACTAGTGATTGCTACTACAATAGCAGAAGGGGTTGTGGTTGAGAACCAAACCAGAATATGCCAACCAGCCCCACTCTGGGAGATAAATGGTATAGACCCGATGGCTGGAATGGAGGGCCAGGTGACAGTGGTGGTTCTTTTGAAGGCCAGCTGACACTTCTGTCTCAAGCAAGCAGCCAGGTGAGTTCAGCCCATAGAGCAGATTGTTTGCTTCAAGAGCTATAAAGAGCCTAAACAGAAACCGCGTCTTTGGCATTGAGGTTTCTGCGGAAAATACTGAAATGAATGCAGCATTGATTAAACTGTTGAAATTGGTTCTCCATCAATTCCTGTCCAGCGAGATATCAAATGAGCCCTTGACTGTAATATGCAAGATGTGATATACAAAGAGGAATTGCTATAGTTTAACTCATGAATTTCAGTACTGCATAATGTGTAGTCAGATATCTTTAAAAAAATTCAGCTGTAATAGGCCATTTAGTGAGACATCAAATAACGTGGTTTCTCTTGCTCTACAGATTTTATCCTAAATTATACAAAGCATCCTTCCTAATTTATCCCTCCAAGTGCCTTGGATTTCAAATCACATAATTCCTAACCAATGATGAGAGTTGCAGCCCAACACATCTGAATTTCCACTATTAGTGATGGGTGGGGGCTGAGAATTACATTTCTGCATGTCTTTTCCTGTATGTTATTTATTGCTCTTTTTATAACCAGCCTCGGCAGCTTGCAAGAGAAATTGTCTGGCGATGGCATGGCCAATGTCAGTTTCATGATTGTGAATGAAAAGACCCCTTTCTCCAGGGCAATGTATTGGGAGCTCAAAAGACATGCTCCCAAAGGCATTCCAGTTTACCAGCAACAAATCCTGGAACCTGATGTCTGGCAAATTCTAAAGGGCAACAAGGATGACTTTCTGATATACGACAGGTTGGTAGCACTTGACACAGGGAAGAATCCTTTCAAGTGGATATGCAGATACAACATGATTATAACACTCTTGGATTCTGTCAAGCACCAGGGAAATCAGGAGATTCAGACAGTTCAAAGGAGTATAAAGAGTTATTGCAAACTTAAGCTCTCTACAAGAATCTGACCAACTAACGGTCAAAGGAAATGTGCTGGAAATAAGAAAGGCATTCAAGGTGGGCTGGACTTAGATTTCTTGCAGGCATGTAGGTACTCAAGACTTATGACGCATTTGGCCCTTCCCTCGGGCTCAGCCTTATCATCTCCTACCGATTCTACAGTGGGGCTGAAAGGAACTGACTGGGCTAAAGCTTAAAAGCAAAAAACAAAACAAAACCCACAACCCTATCTATAGAGCACATACAGTAGAGCAGGGGTGTTAAACTGCCGGCCCGCGGGCCGGTTTTATCATACCGGAGCCGCGCCCACCCCATTGCCAGCAATGGCAAAAAAGCTCTGATACGACACGCGACATCACGAGTTTGACATGCCTGCATTAGAGGAAAGAAGGCCAGAGGCATGTTCCTTGACTTTAGATAGGGACCTTTTCTTTTCATTCTATCATTGATAAAAATGTCAGCTCAGTCAAATTATATTCATTTCTGCTCATGCATGGATGAGTGTTCTGAAATAAAACTCTTGCACTTTTCTTCCATGGCATCCGGGTTCTGCAGGTGCAAGAAGCTCACTTTCCATATCCAGTTGCCATACAGTTTTCTGCACTTACCATATGTTGAGGCAGCTGTGCGCTACACATACCACAAAGACTATTGTGGCAATTGTTCCTGGTATTATCTGAACAGCAGCCAGGAGGTAAGAGTTTAAGTCTTCTCTCTCTCTCTTTAGCTCTTCTGTTTAAGCCGGACATTTCTTATTTGCTCAGCTTATTTTTTGATACTTAAGAATTCTCCAAGTTTTCTAATTGCACATTTTATTCAATGAGGATGAGAGAAATACAGTAAAAGGGAAGGCATGTTTCATATTTTCCTTTGCTGTATACGAGAACAAGCACAACTGGAATATTTCAATTGTATCTTTAGCTGTAATAGGAGGGACTACGCTGAAGGATCTGAAAGAATATCTTTAGAGTCACACAAAGGGCCCAGATTTAATTATTTACATCCAGATCTGTTTCTGTTACATATTGGCTGAATCCACACATTGTGTTAAACTCTACTTTGCTTAACCACGACTGGTGAATAAAAAGCAGTTGACTTGATTTGCACATCATGCTATGCCAATACCCACTATGGCTGAGTAGGAATTATAAATCAGGTCAAAGACCATCAGGTTATGATGGTCAAGGCTAAAGGGACATGCCAACCTGCAGTTTCTCTCTCTGCACCTGTGGACTTTTCTTTGTCTATCTAACATAGGAAGGAAATATAATAAAATAAAAATGCTTCCAGAAGAGAGAAATCTATTAAGTAATAGATATTTGTATCAAAATGCAAGGGTATCTTTGCACTCATTGTCCCTCCTTCCTGTGACATCTATTGTGGAGCTGTACTTTCTATCTTCTGCCATAATGGTCGGGTTCAATTGTGCCAAATCAAAATGTGTTTTTTGTGTGTCTTAGCTTGTTATGCAAATCCAGGCAACTAGGTCATAGTCTACGAAGCAGGGATAAAACAGTTGAACATTTTTTTTAATCTGTTACGTGTAAATTTATAATCTTAGCACCTAGTTACAAGAATCTTACTTTTTAAAACCACTTCCTTAAAATTAGAAAAATTGCCTTGAGTGAGTCAGCAACAGAAGAAGAATTTATGTTTGCTAGAAGACTAGCAACATATTCTGCAAAGCTAATTCACTTTGGCAGTTAGTGCTTTGTGCGCAGCTGAATATAAACATATAGCAAGTAGATCACTTCAGAATAATATATGTCATTTTCCTTCACCTTTAAACTGTTCCACCTGGCTTCCTTTTGAGTCCATCTTATAATATATCAGAACTTACTACTATTTCACAGGTGAATAAGACAACAAGTACTCCTGTGATGACAACTGAGGCTCCCAGAGACAAAGTGAAGAGCCTGGAAGTATTGAAAAGTCAGCCTGAAAAGAAAAATCAAGAAACGCCTAACTTCAAACACATAGTCCAGAGCCATTCCCATCATGGGGGAATTAACACAGCCCAACCATCCCTCCATTCTCAAAACCATTCAGTTAACCACCACACAAGGGACTCTCACTAAATGGCTACAGTATGGAAATACACCCTCAACTGTTAGGAACCCCAAAATCTTACACTAAAAAAATTAAGCAAGCAATATAAGAAATAGCTAAGGAATAAATTTACACATCTCACGAAGGAATGGTTCCATGTTGGCTCACAATAAGAGAGAGCAGAGTAAACCACATTATTTCCAGAGGGACAAACATCACATTAATCTATAATAGGTTTTGTTTCATTGTGGTGTAACCAATAATTAACTTGAACTCGAGTGGTTTATTGGCAGGGCTGAGCCCATAGGTTGAACAGTTAGAACACGGATGTCAAACTCGATCATGTCACGTAATGTATCGTGATGTATCATGACTTTTTTGCCTTTGCGGAGCCAGGGTGGGTGTGGCCTGTGCGTGACGCATCCAGCCACGGGCCGCCAGTTTCACACCTGTGAGCTAGAGGTTTCAGACATTGTCTCTCAGAAGACTATTTTGTGGAAGCACAGATTGGTATTTCTCACTACCACACCTATCTTCTATGTGGACTTAAGCTCCCAGAATTTTCTATATAGCCCTAGCTGCAAATTCTGTGAGTTAGAAGTCCATGCGATGTTACCTAGTTTGGTAATGAAACATGTGCAAGAAAACCACCAAGCATAGAGAGCACCAAGGACCCCACAATTCAATCCTGAGCTATAAGTATTCTCTATTTCTGTATGTACTTAGTCTGCTGCTGCTGGGAAATCAGTTTTGATTCCCCACCTTTACATTTCCTACTTTTCTGTACTCAATGAAGTATGCAGTGTAAACTAAATATTAGTCATTGCAGTCTGAAACTGTTCAGAAAAGTAGTTAACTAAAATGGAAAGCTGGGATGAGGATCAGAATTAGGATTTGAGGAAGGGTGACAGACTAAGTGAGGGCAATGAAAATAAATTTGGCACATTAATACCCATGGACCTGGATGGCTAATTTGAGGATTGTGGTTTATCTTTATTTGTTCCTGAAAACAAAAAGCTTGCCAGAATCAAGAGAATAAAATGTAATTAACTAGGTTTACAGAAATGTTACTTGCTTCTATATACGACTCACCATACGTAGTCAGAAGGTTTGGGGTGAAGCTTAAATAAGTGGCAGAACATTATGAGATGAACTGGTGAAGAAAGTTTATTCTTGACGTATTGGCAAAAAAAAGTAATGAAAGTGGATACATCATGTATTGAGTAAAAATAATACTGCATTCTGAAATTGCATTTGAAATCTTCATTTTCAATATCTTCATGGATCAAAAGCATTACAAATTAAAGTAAAGTCTTTTATTTAAAACACGTGCACGAATAAATATGACCAAATCCATTTTTGCTTTGGGTATCAAATTTAAAAATTATTCCTAGTCATGCGTTCCTTATCAAAATCTTCTGATAGATTTACATCTTTCCCCGCTTTATGTCTTGTTTGCCTTTACAACAAATTGCACAAAGACCCTGAATTATATGAGTGTGGTTAACATGGTTAAAAAATATTTGCTAAAGCTTAACCTTTAACTGACTTCATCTTTTCTCTATAACAGCAGCTCACTTAGAAGAAATTGATGTTTCTTTTCTTTTTTTTAACTACGGTATATCTGTCCCCTGGTCTAAGAATAAGGTGACATACATGTTCTTCCCCCTCTGGTTTATTTTCTCAAAAATCCTCTGAGTTTGGCTAGATTAAGTGATTGCCCCAAGATTAGTTGGTTTCATGGAATGGAATTTTGAACCATTTGAATTTTTCAGCTGTCAATCCAACACTATCCACTGTATGGTCATCTGCATAGGGTCAAAGCAGCGAAAACCACAGCTGCAAATGCATGATTGAAGCTCCACAGTTTTTTAATTGTGCCAGAGATGCATGTTAAAAAAAAAAAAAAGCTGGAGCTTCAATAGTCTCAGCCACCTTCTTGCTGTTTTTTTTTTTTTTTTTTTTTT